AAAGTTTTCCAATAGCGCGTACCTAAATGGAATAACGCAATCAGGGGAGGAAGCCGGAGTCGGAGAAATGGAAGTATTCGGTAAATTAGATCCACTCCGGGGAGGCAAACCGAACCGGCGAACGAGATCGGCGCTTCCATTTCAAAACCCCGGTGCTCTCATTCGAAATAGTCCCTCGGCATGTCGGAGTAAATTGCCGCGTATCGCGTCGTCGGTTATCAATGAAACGAAGGGCAGGTGCGCGGACAATGCGCGGTTCTCGGGGGGGGGGGGGGGGGGGCGACGATTCCACGAGCGGTCTTTCTTCTCCCGGCGCGAATGGCCTCGCGTCCTCAAATCGTCGCTCGATCGATGGGGTTAACCCGACAATTAGCCTCCGTGAACGCCAGGACTGACCCTCTAACGCAATTACCCGTTGCGTCGTTATTTCCCTCCCAGGTCCTGCCGAGTGCCCCGCCACGTATCGTCACGCCGGGGCGCGTCGTCCTCGTTCCGACATTTCCGTGCCATGAAAATGCAATGGAGTTAAACAGGGTAAAACTAACATACGCCCCCATTTTTAATAAAAATTGCAATTTTAATAAAAATATTGGTAAAACACGGTGGTCATTGCTTTTAACCAACGCATTGGCGAACGTTTCTCTCCCAGTCATTAAAATGAAGTAAAATTACCCTGTAAGTAACGGATTAATAGTTCCTATTAACCTTGAGCAGAGTCATTTCGTGATTATAATGGTATTAAACGCCAGGTTCAAAAAATGATATGACTTTCACCAAGCCACGTTGCGTGTCGTTTAATCGTTTTTTTTAACTATTTTCCAAGATTGACAGAATTTAGGTCTTCAACGAATACCCGAATACCCGTACGGTGGAAGTGTTACGTTTATGACACAACACGCATAATTTTTTTATAAATGACCACGGGGTGTAATGAGGTTTACCCTACTAAACGACCTACCGACCGGGAAAGCACATTTTTAATCAATTTTAATTTACTTTCGAGACTCGACATTTCCTGGCTTATTCGTACCTAGTGTTACCTGCTTCCGAGTGCACGGGGATGCACACCTCCCAAAAGTTGCCCATAGTTTGTCAAGATTAACTCGACGATTATCTTCCTCATATGCCAGAAGTTGCACAGTGATGCAATTAACTTTCGCGTCAGCGATCTCGTTATTTTCCCGGAAGTTCCCACGATATGCTCGGATATAGCGGATTCATAGATTTCTATTAGAGAAGCTAGATAGCTAACAATGGAATTAATCCAATATCGTACAAGATACCTCTATGCTCCACGTCACCGTTTACTTAAGGGCGCTCACCACTCCAGCGATTTTGCAGGGCCTCACGGGGACAACGATTCCGAACGTATTTCTAAACCGATCGAGCTTAACGAGAGCTCATATCGAAGATGAAATGTTGACCCGTGTTTATATGGGAGCGATTTTCGATAAGTGGTCATTTTCATATAAAAAAGTGCAACGACATAATTTCAATGCCCTTTTACCTAGGAAGGAGGTGCTTGATCGAAAATCGCTCCCATATAAACACACGTCAACATTTTATCTTTAAAACGAGCACTCGTTGAGCTCAATCGGTTGAGAAATACGCTCAAAATCGTTGTCCCCGTGGAGCACCTTTTTCAGGATTTTCAAGTTTCTCGCGAGGAATTTGGGCATTCCTTAGCAACCGTTGCCGACTCTAGGCGGAGCGTCCAACTTGCGTGTGCGTGCAGCCGAGTATCACACACGTTTCGGCGCCTAGCCAAAGGCGTCTAGCCGTTGTGTGAGTTGTATACGTGCAAAATACGCACTCATTTTTTGCCCGTTGCTAAACACTGCTCATTATGCGTCGCGTCTCCCTCATCCGAGCGAGAAAGTACGTTTTGGTTACCTCCCACCGAATTCGATGCTAATGCCATCTAGCGGTGGAAGTCATCGTCCCCACTTTGGTGGTGAACGCCGTTAATGACGAATCTTGTTTATCCGATGCATACATATCTGAGATACTTTGCGTGAAAAAAAAAATGTGACTTTCCGAAAAATACATATTTTATGCCGTAATATTGTTATACTCAAAACTGCTCCAATACCAAAGCAGCGGATTTCACTAACTCCCGTAAGTAATTACTTACTGTCCTGTACGATATGTAAGTTACAGGGCACAGCGTTCTTTGTGCCTTACTTTTCGCAGAAGTCCCCAGTTTGATGTTACTCTTTTAACCGCATTTCCATTGTTTAGTCTCTTTACATTGTATTAACCCGAAGGTTTCCATTGCGCTTTGACCATGCCCGTAATGGCTGAATGGAAATCCGGTTGAATGCCCAATTATCCATCGTTAACGGCCTATGTTATCGATCTAATTTTTTATTAGCAACCTGGGAGTTGCTCCTATATTACAGTTGACGATCTACGACACGATAAATTTCCAACTGTCCTAGCTTCATAATTCTGCAACGAGATCGTTGTACGCTCAGGTGGAGCAACTTCTACATACATCGCGAAGGCAGGTCATACCTCAAGGGACAATATCCTTTAAGTGCAGAAAAATCTCGCGACGTCATAAAAAGTTCGGCGAGCCGGTCGGTCATCGACGACGTCGGGAAAGCTCTCGATTATCGAGTAAATTCCCGACCTCGACGGAGAGGAACGACCGAGACCGACCCGACCTCTCGACTCCGAGGAGCGCCCGAGGGTAAGTGATATCCAGTCTAATTATTGACTGGTAATTAGGTAGTTACGAGTCGAGGAAGACGCCGTCCCTCAAGGCCGAGTTCGGCAAACTGAGTAAACGTCCATGGCCTGGGCCTCGGAGGCGAGTTTCATCCCGGACAAGAAAGGAGGTTCCCGGGGGGTCCGACTCCAAGTTTGCCGATGCAGATATTAAAGCCTCGAGGTGGAAACTAATCGAAACGCGTCCGGGAAGATTCGGTTTACGGATCGCTACCCGACGTATCCAACGATGCCAGGGAATGGACTAAATCGGTCGTTATAAGAGAGAGGTGGTCTTAAGGTAATACGAAAGTGTCATTCCACATACAAAAAACGTAAAAATATATATAAAACTTTTCTCCGAACTGGATACACTGTCACTTGAAAGATTAACACATGATTATGAATGCCCTAAGGAAGAACGCGATGGTGAAATTCCATTTTTCACGAAAAACAAAAAAAAATGTGATCTTGGTTCTAGTATGGGCTAAACAAAAATTTTGTTTGAAGAATTAAATTTTAGAAAGGCAGCGTTCTTCCTTTCATGCACGATTCGGTGCATTCAGTTTGGAGAAATATATAAATATTTTGCCGTTTTATATATATAGAATGACTCTTTCGTATCACTTTAAAGTAGCGAGAGTCAACGCAAGAGCCGGCGAAGTATCTCGAACGCAAAAGGAGATTTTTTTAATATTCACTAAGTGTCCGTGAATCATTTTCTTTGGGGGTACTGCTTCTAATAAGCTCCTTAAAGATTTACGAATTTTATCACCTATTCCTCTAGGCGAGGACGACCCAAGGGGGTTCGTCGAAGTCGACCGTGACAAGAGAAAAGCGATCCTAAAATGACGATTATCAGAGCCATTGTCGGCGGAACGCGATAAGCAGTCCCTGCAAGGCATAGGGGGCGATTGATAAGGGCCTCGAACGCAAAACGAGAACTTTTTAAATTTTCCTTGCGGTTCCTGGGCGAAGCCGAGTTAAAATAATCTTAAACTACAGAACACGGCTCGCAAATCTTATAGCAAAGATTTCAATATGTATCATAACGACCGTAAAAGCTAAATATCAAAGCACTCGTTCTAGAGATTAGAGAGGATTCTATTATAAAAACAATGATTCTACGAGCAAGATAAATCCTTGCGGAAGAACGCCAAGCACCTGAGCGTCGGCCCTGGTCATCGTTGTAATTAAATTTAAAAACATAGCGTTCTTCCTTAGGGCATCTATAATCACATGCTGAAGTATCCAACGATTCGGTGCATTCAATTTGACGAAATATTTTATAAATATTTTACCGTTTTATACATATAGAATGACTCTTTCGTATCACTTTAAAGTAGCGAGAGTCAACGCAAGAACCGGCGAAACGCAATAAGCAGTTCATGCAAGGCATGGGGACGTTTGTTAAGGACGCCAACAATTAGCAAGTATCTCGAACGCAAAAGGAGAATTTTTTAATATTCACTAAGTGTCCGTGAATCATTTTCTTTGGGGGTACTGCTTCTAATAAGCTCCTTAAAGATTTACGAATTTTATCACCTATTCCTCTAGGCGAGGACGACCCAAGGGGGTTCGTCGAAGTGGACCGTGACAAGAGAAAAGCGATCCTAAAATGACGATTATCAGAGCCATTGTCGGCGGAACGCGATAAGCAGTCCCTGCAAGGCATAGGGGGCGACTGATAAGGGCCTCGAACGCAAAACGAGAACTTTTTAAATTTTCCTATGCGGTTCATGGGCGAAGCCGAATTAAAATAATCTTTAACTACAGGACACGGCTCGCGAATCTTATAGCAAAGATTTCAATATATATCACAGTGACCGTAAAAGCTAAATATCAAAGCACTCGTTCTAGAGATTAGAGAAGATTCTATTATAAAAACAATGATGCTACGAGCAAGATAAATCCTTGCGGAAGAACACCAAGCATCCGAGCGTCGGCCCTGGTCATCGCGCGAGATAGGAGTCCGCGACTAGTCTCGGTTCTCCATGGGAAGAAAAGATTACTTGTCCGCGAGGACGATAACGCGCCGCCGGGGAGAAGACAGGACCCGCTCGTAAAGTCGAGTCGGCACGCGAATTGGACGCCTTCCCGAAGGAACATCCAAGGGCGGAGATCGTTAAATCCAGGGAGATAAATGATTCCCTCGCGGCTGGCGTCTCTTCGTGCCTGATTTCCCCCCGCCCGTTTCGGAAGTTTAGGGTTGATTAAATTCCGAGTCCGCGTCCCCGTTGCTCTCGATCATAACTATCCGATTGGTCCGCGTTTGCGAGAATACGTACCCTTTCTTCCAGGACGTTGGCCGCGACGAATCCTGCAGAGGACGTCGGGTCGAAATCGGAAGCGGTCCTCTACCGAGCTTGGATAGATCCGGCGAAGCACATGACTCCTTCGGGGGCGTTCGAGCACTGAGGCACCTCACACCGGTCGCCACCGCCACCACCCTCACCCCCCGTTTTCACCTGCCGGACACCTTCACTCCGCGGTGACGCCGCACCGAATGCCGAGAGTTCCAGGGTCGACGCTCGCCGACCACCCGCACTTGGCCGGGGCCCAATTTCCGCGAAACGTGCGATCGCACGTCGACGGTGAATCTTCTCACGGATTGGCTGCTATAGGTAGCGCGTTCACGGGTTCGTCGTCATCGCCGCGTCCCCCGTCTTCGTCGGGGATCCGGGCAGTGGTAGTTTCGGACGAAACGCCGGAAGCGGCGCGTGCTTGACCAAAACCCAATTTCCTAGGTAAATCGTATCTCGATGTAGGAACACCGTTTGCCCCCGGGTTGACTATCGGATCATATTTCGGCGTGGCGCGATGGCGGCCCGAGATAAGGTTTACTGGTTTCGGGGTCTGGGACCCCCTCGGGCCCCGCTGGAGGCTGTCGGAGGGGGCACGGTTTATCGGGCCGTGCGGCCAGACATAGGTCGCGACCTGGGTACGTCCCTTACCTCGGAACACTCCACGCGACCTCCTCCCTCCGTGACGGACGCGAGGACACTGCCGGACGCTGGGTTCCACGCACAGGCGCGTGCCGGCGGAATTTCCGCGGAGCGCGCGCCGAAGGGGTGGGGGGTGCCGGAAAACTCCGCGTGCGCGAGGGCGGGGGTGGGGGACGCGGCGGCCTCCCGCCCGCCAATCCGGTAGCGGCAACGTCGCGCGCGCCCAATGACCGGCGCAGTCCTTGCCGAGCCTTCGTCGGGTTCGCATCGATCCCCGCACCCCCGATGTAGGAATCTTCCGTACCTGTAAAATTTTACCGACGTTGTCGGTATCGCTCTATCGACGGACGGGAGCTCGTCGAGAAGATTTGCTTGCGGATTTTACGGACAATCTTGGCGCCCGGAGATGACGCCGCTGATAAATTCGGAGGAATAACTGCCGCTGATAAATTCGGACGCTGTAGAAACGTATGCACCTTGGTATCAGCGGATCGGCGAAGACGATTCGAATTGTAACTTTATTCCTAGTGCTTTGGGTAAGGTCGATCCGGTATACGAGGGATAAGCTCGAGACGGGTTGATTTTCTTTTCGTTTATTTCAACAATTGTATAGTAACGTAATAATAATAGTAATTACAATGCGGCGAATATGTGCTCACCAGTTAACAGGGATTCACGTATCAATCAACGTTGCCTCAAATAAGAGCCCAGCATAGAAATGTAACAAATTTTTATTTTTCTTCAATATGAATTTACTATTATTAGACCAGGCTATTATCGAGGCATAATTCAAAGTCAAGTGAGATTGGGTGAGTCGATGCGATTCATCGTCCCGCCAGCCTATCGCGCGCCGGACCTTCGCCCTTCTATCTTCTCGCCCTCGAATCCGATCGTTCGATTCTCGAAACAACGACTCGCGTTAACGCGATTCCTCGGAAGGCTGTAGGGGCGATGAATGCGTTAACGCGATTACAAAGTACAGAAGGTAAAAGTATGGAAGAGTTAGATTCATTACGATCGGTTCTTTTAATTTGTCTCAGCGCTCTTTAAAAGTCGGAGGTAAGTTTCAGATATTAGGTTTAGTTTAGAGAGAAAGTGATCTCGGTAAAGTAGACCCTAATTCCTAATCGTCTACCTCGAACCATCCCTAAGTGACTATCAAAGTAACGCTACGTCGTTATCGATTACAGCCTAGCTTTAATATTCAGTAATTGATTATTGAGTTTTGTTTATACGAGTACGATTTTAGCATTCAATAGTTTAAATATGTATAGATTATGTTTAGCGGTATATGTTTAGTAATCCAGTTTAAGTTTCGGAATTAATTCATCCAGGACCTCGCTCGCGGTCGTCGCGGCGAAGTCGAGGGTCGCTTCTCACTTTTCCTTATTTCTCCCCTCAAGATTTTCCTTTCCCTACGTAATCCCATTCGCGAATCTCAAGCGACCCCTCGCGACTTCGAGGGACGACCGCAAATATTGCCTTCGAGTTTTCTATACGCTATCTACCAGACCCTTGTAAGATTGCGAAGCTTCTGAATTGCGTCAAGTCAACTAACGTGGGAGCGGGTTTCTCGAACGAAGGGTACCAGAAATCGCCTATCGGAATGATTAGAACTTTACAATTGCCTAGAATTACCTCGGTATAAATAACCCTAACTTCCAGACGCCTCGACGTATCGCGCGATTGTTAATCGTTAATGCACCCATTGGTGTGAGAGTTAGGTTCAGAGTGTTCCAACGCGAAGCTCGTCGGGAATTCGAGGACTCTCGTCGACGTCGGATGGACTTCGGGCCGAACTTAAGCTTCGGGACCTCGACGAGTGTTCCCGATTTCCTCGTCTAATTTCAACGAGCCGTTACACACCGCACTCAACTAACTCGGGACGCGTCCGCGCCCTCGCAACTCGCAACACCTGATATATTAGTTTTGGCTCAGCGATATTAAGTTAGCTAAAAATTTGGCACTTGATTTGTGTTCCTAATTAGACTACCCATGTTTCGAGTGTTTTCCCAAATAACGTACCGTTAACGATTTATCTCGGTATTTCACTTGTGGTATCTCGAGAACGCAAAGTTTGAGCGGCATTTCGCGGTGTTGAATCAGAGGACACCGCGACACACAGCTGGCACTGTTGGATCGGTTCTTTTTGTTTTTTTGTTGTTTTTTCTTTTCGTTTACAGATTGTTATAGCTAGCGCACTGTGTGTACACACGATGTCACGAAAGAACGGCGAAGAAATCCTCTTAATACATTCGCTGCCATAGTGGATACGGTTTCCTTTTGTGATTAATCGATGGCCAGACCTATGTATTAATTATTAACACTCGTCGCCCAATGTACGCGGGGAAGGTGGAATTTTCTACGGCATGCTAAGTCGCACTTGAGTAACGAAAATGGATCGTGCTCGAGTTGCAATTCAAAAAGTGCTGAGCACATTTCAATGGTTTCTCCGAAGGAGCACGGTTCGGCCTTCCTCCGTAAATTCACCCTCCTCCGATAAATTGATTAGTCGATGAGGGGACTTATTCAAAGGGACGTTACCGATTACAATCCGCACACCGCGTAGAAAGACAAGTACATCTCGTTAGAATATTTATAATCCTATCAATAACCTTCGATCGAGTACGTTGTTTTCAGTTAGAGCCAATTCCCGGAGTGACAACGTCTGTACGAAAAACTCTGATTAGTGCTACTTTTTATGTTATTTGCTCCGGTACGAAATGTGCCGATTGCAATCGCTAAGATCAACGTATTCGGGTGCACTTACTTATATTACGGATCGCGCAATTCCGGCGATTTCGGCAGCGAACATATCAAGTCGGGAGGCGGATAATTTTCGGTGATTTCCATTGCACAATCGTTAATATTCGGAGAATGCTTGGCTTAGTGACTCGTAATCACTCACGTAACTTGTAATGTACATTGGCGAACATGAATGCCTTTATTATGAATATTGTGCTGCCAGCGTACGTATGATGGAAAGGCCATAATATGTAATTCGCCTTCGTCAATGTACAATTGCATTACGCTCTTCGGATGCATTTGCTGATTTTCTCAAACGGAGTTGATACTTCGCTTCAAGTAGGTGGATGCGATTCATTGAGCTCGATCGAATGAATGCTCGCCTTTTAAAGCCTTTTTTTGGCCCTTCTGCCATTTAAAGTCGGCCAATTATCCTTATCACGCGAAGAAAGAGAGATCAATCGAAAAACGGAGCAAGAGAAGGTGAGCGTGTTGCCCTTAAAAAATTGATTCCACTAATTCCCAAGAATACCGACTAAAAGTACATGAGTTCGATTACAAGCTCCAAAGGTGCGTACTTATAAAATGTTGACGAGGAATTAAGGTCCGAAAGAAGTTGAAAGTAGAATGAAGAATACTTTTTGCCCGAACTCGAATTCGTAAAACGTGCATTACGAGTCATATCGACATCTCACTCGAACGACAGAGACTCCTCGAAGTTCATTACTTTTCCTCCACCTACTTGAAGCACAACAAACATTAATTCTACTCTCGACTATTCGTTAAATTGAATACCACAAGCCTAACTAGGCAATGTCCTACTTAACTTTCCTTTCCGCGAGCTCTTTCGGGGAGTCCCTTTAAAGCCTCGGGATCGCCATTCTTTACCGACCGGGCATTATTAATTACCGTTATTCTACATTTAAACATTCCTTTAACATCATTAACAACGTTTTATTAGTTATAACTTCGATATTATTTAAAAGATAACGTGATTGGTTGTCGCGTCATTGCCAATGGCCAAATGTACATTACAATGGAATCTTATACAATTTTTTTTTTCCCCTCAATAGTGCCCGTCTACGTGACTATCCGTAAACAAGAGTAATTTTCGAACGGAAGCAAGGCTTTCCCTTCCACCGACCTTCATTTCGAACCGAATGATTACTCTCTTTCTCTCTTCGAGCCGTATAAAATAAATCATTTGGGCCTCAATAATAGCTTGTCCAACTCAGCATACCGAATGAGCCGCGAAATCAAAAGTCTAGCTTTTAACGGGTAAACGAATCATTCATTCGATGTCATTTGCGAAATTAACAAACACAGGAAGCACGACTGCGTAGGTACTGTATGCAAATATATGTATATGTATATGTATATATATATATATATATGTATGTAGAAACTCTACGTTTTCTATGTATAAACGTGCGGGGAAATAAAATGGAACGGGGCCTCGCTACGATCAGCACTTTCGTAGTTCGCGAAGGCAATTCGTTGCTCCGCGATTAACGTACGAGGTACTTATCGGAATTACGCGGGATTAAGAAACGCGAGCGCTAGCAATTGTGGTTAATCTTTACGGAAAATTATTGAAGACACGGAGTCGAGAAGGGAAGCGTGGTAGTCCGACAGAGAGCAACGCGTAAAAGTACAAATCCTCGCGGGAGTTACGCAGTGGACAATCCCCGACCTCTCAAAATATCCGGGAAAAATTCATCTTAAGGCGAAATCAGCGTGCAAGTTACATTCCACCGAAAAGAAACCAACGGAAACGCATACGCGAACGCAATCGACACGTTTCTGCTTAACTTCGAGGGTTTTACCACCGCGAATTCTCCTTAAGACTGGCGAATACCAGAAATAGTTGCTTCGCGATATCTTTCCGAAGGTGCAGTCAACGTGCATTTCCTCTTCACGACAAGCGTTCTTCCGAAGTCGACACGAATATAATGGGCTGGGTTGTTCCTTGACGACACGTGGTTCCCAGTACACGGAAGAACCGTAGAAGAACGTAGTGGATTAACATCGGGAAATTCAACCGATTTATGGCAACGAGCCTGACTCCACGTGACCGCTGATCGACGCAAACCGCTCGAATTTCCCGATTAACACGATAACTGTACGTTGACGGATAATCCGATGTGGGCTTTTAGTAAAACGAAGGCCAGTTCACGTTAAAATCGTGCGATCCGCCACGCACCGCCGAAAGTATGCCTCGCACACGTTTTCCTCGATTAGTCGAGACCCGAAGTACAATAGCTTCACACCGAAGTTGCGCGTCGCGCTTCGGCACTTCGCAGATTCCGAAAGCCATCCGGTAAAAAGATTCGGGACGCTTCCAGACCGTAAATCGCAATAGGACGAAGAATATCGGAAACCGTCCTGGAGACGAATACGCTCTCCCGAGATGATAAGACCTAATGACAAGCAGCGTAAACCCGCTCCCATCGATGATTCGATTTGCGCTCTACTGGATTGCACGACTCGCGGACACTTTTCACACTATACAAGCGTCACTATGTACAGTACCTAAAATAAGGACACGCATAGCCGTAAATATATTTGTATACATGTCTATATAGATTTGATTAAATAAATGAAAAAAGTTTCACAAGGTGCACCTCGAGCGTGACACGATCCGAAGGTTGACAAATTCCGGCTCTATCGTTTATACCGCGCAATTCCAAGAAGGCATATAAACTAGGTTTACACCCTTCTGGTACTCCTGCGGTGTAAATTATTCGTTAAATTTATTGCTAATGTGTCAATCGGACATATCTTTGTCCGTCGAAGGTGCTAAATAAATTTCGTTCAATTTCCTCCTAATTAGATATTTTAATAGAGAGTAACTTCCTTCTTCGCCTTCTTTCGCTTATTTCCCTTCGGTAATTTATATGTCTTCCGTTTATTCGTTTAACTAGGTTTTATTGCATCGGTCGCGATGCAAGACATCGTTAACGCATCTTCCTTAAAAGTTTGAGAATTATGCTCTCCTTCGCGCCGTGAAGATGGTCACCCGACGTCTGGGCGAAGAGCCGTCTTGGACGCGCCACTTTGGTGTGAATCGAAGGGAAATTGTTTATGATAACGTGAATTGGCCTTGGACGCAGCTTGGCTACCTAATGAGTGGCGTGCGCACGGAAAAGATCAAAGAGTGCACCTCGAACCGGCTTACAAGGAAATATCTTCCACGATTTTATCGAAACGGAGCGTGGACAGCAAATCGATGGCCGTTCGATCGGTGACAATGCCTTCGGTTTGTCAATCAAATATAATATCAAAGTAATACCAGCCGGTGTTATCGCGATACGAGAATAACGAATGTCCGACATCCAAGTATGACTCGTGGAAAAGACTTCCTTGAGAACGCAAGGTCCGTTAATGAAGTGTAGGTCATCTTAGCTTAGCAGCAATAGTTGAATAATTGAACCGTGTTTACAGGATGGCGAATAAGTAACGATCGTTCATTTGTTGTCGCGTTTTAGATTGCCGTCCAGCGTCCTAAACGAGAGACTCGAGACTTTCGGGCGAATCTCCGAAATAATCCGTCTACTTTTTCTCTTTACTTTTTTTTTATAAAGAAGTGCCTCTTAAACGTGATAAAGTAATAAATAGCAGCTTAATAATGCTGGAAATCTTATATAAAAAAGGGAGGCGACACGAGGCCAGCCTTTTATATGAGTAAACAAACGCCTCTTTGCATCCTGCATATTAAAGAGCATATTTTGAAACCTAATGCGTCTTGTAATCCCTTTTAAAGCGTACATAGTATAGGATGTTTCATTCGAATACGGTAAGTTTATCAAAGTGACAAATTGACGTAAATTCTTTCGACTAACGGCCTTTATACTGCTTACGTACTTAATATATAATATGTCCATCAGTTTCCATAACGACACCGCAATTCGATCCAGATTCCGATATGACGCCTTTTACCTCGAGCGCCGATTTCCCATTAAAAACAGATATCCACCAATAAATCATAGAGCCCGATCATTAAGTGACCCTTAATCAACGATCAGAATATTAATATTAGGATTAATATTTATATCGAATGAGGAGTATCCATTCCGAAAATTCCTTGATGCGGCCGCGCCCCCAAATTCCCCGACCTTTGTCATCGAACCACTCGGGGGTGTTCGGGTACGGTAAAAAATAAAAATATACGAATTCCCTATCGTCAGTGAAAGTATTCAGAAAATAGAAAGTATTTGAAACCCAATCGCGGCGTGTCCGTCCCTAACGGCAAGTCAGTCAACCTGGACGCGGATCGTCGCCGGACCGTTCCGGCTCCTAGAACGTCATCCAAATCTCTCGAATAACGAGCCAAATGACCTAAACCCGATCAGCGGACCTTGACCCGAGACGCGTGCAAGACTTACGGCACTCGTGTCCGAGGAATAAAGGAATAATCCACTCGCTTAAACTAAAAGGCTGAGCGTACCCCAGAAAGGCGGCGATTCCGCGGGGCCTAGATTCGCCTCTCCCCCCTCAACGGATCGCTTAACCTACGAGAAGAATCTGCTATCGCACGCCACTTAATCGTAGTACAAATCTTGATAGTTGTCGTTACTTACTAGTGATACGGATAATAAAATTCACTGGCATTTGAATCACCTTGGCAGTTCATCGTGTTGAGAGTATAATGTGTGCGCTTTGCTTCCTTGCACAGAAGTGTCTCGCGGGCTTGCAAATCGGCTCGCTTAGGAAATCAATTCGTCGTAATAAACTCGGGTGCACGCGTACATGCGCGCGTACGTTGGTAAACGTATACGCGGGTACATACGCGTGCACGTACCACGTCCATCGGTCGTCCTCCCTGTCGCGCCTGTTGCGCCCGTCCTCCGGTGGCAGCGCTGGTGGCTGGCCTGCGTGTTACGTCTACGCGTCGAGGGTCTCTCTTCGTCTCTCTCCGTCGCCCGCGTGGCGCTATCTCTCCTCTCCCTCCGGGCGAGCCCCTCGAGGCGAGCTACTTCGTATTGCTTTCCTAATTAAACGCAGGACCTCGGTCGGGAAGCGTCTCCCCGTTACGCTAAACACCTTCGGTACCGTCGCAAGCGTAAAAAACGGAGGTGTCCCTGCTGGCCTACTACCCGTAACAACCAACATCCGACCATCCGAACGACTTCATCGACACGTGCCAGCGATCCCGACCTTCCGAATCACGTGACGATTATGTGCGGCGCCGAGAATAAAACGCTGATGGTAGCGATTATGGTGAAGAGAGTAAAAATGATTAGGCACATCCTGTCGATCACCATCGCTGCGAATTTCCAGTCGTTTGTCACCCCTGTCTGGATGTCGTCGCTCTTCAGCTTGTCCGTGATTATCTGGAACCGACAATTACCGGTCAGGTTCTCCGTCCGGAGTCCGTCGAATACCCCGCGCGACGAGGCTGCACGACAATTAAACCGAGAAAAAGAGAAGCTGCAATGAAATCAATGCGAGTTTTTGCCCGCATCCCCTCCACGAAGCCGATGCGCGTGCACCCTCCACCCATGCGCGCTCGTCGGAAGACCATCGGCCCGAACCGTCCCAAGAAATCCGGGCTTTCGATTTTCCTGTACCCACGGTTCCGTGCCGGATTTTCGGCACGACCGTCTCTTGACTCCGCTCTCCCCTGGATTTCTCGCGACGCATTTCGAATCGATCGGCACGTACGTGCAGCTTCGACGTTCGTCCGCCACCCTAGGGACTGGCTGACTCGAGCCGATGGATGTCACGAGTTACCTTGATCTCCTTCAGTATCAATATGAGCTCGTAGCGCGCACAGAAGCACGCGCTCTGCAGGATGGTTTCGATTTGCGGGGCCCCCGAGTCTTGCGGGTGCTGATGATGATGCGGGGTGTGGCTGATCTGATGCCCCGGGTAGGAGGAGTGCGGCAACGCGGTCGGGTGCTGATGATGCGGCGTCGACGTCGCGTGGGTATGGTGATGATGCGGCGTCGTGTGTATGTGGCTGTGGCCGTGGCCCATCGCGTGATGGTGAGAACTCGGGGTGCTGTAGACGTTGTTCAACAGGTTGTTGTGCGACGCTAACGCGTTGTCCTCCAGGTCCAACACGTTGGCCAGCAGCGACTTGCTACTCCTCTGGTGGAGTTCCAAGTCGTATGCCTTTCCAGTACCTGTTAGTGGATAAGGAGGTTATTCCGAGATCGGGTCAAGTCCTAATTCCGAGGACGAGCCACCCTCCAGGGAAGACGACAGGCGATTCCACCGGAACGTCTTTGGCTCGAAGCGTCCCCTGGTCGCCATCTTACGATCTCGTCGAGTTTTGCGATTTTCTTAGCATGCCTCGTACTTGCGTTTGCGAAATAAGACAGGATGCAAGATTAATTTACCGGTTATAGGAGATGGCTTCTGGGATTTCGGTCCCTCCTTGTCCTCCTTGTCGGATGGTCTGGACATCCGCAGCATGCAGGGCAGCCAATATAAGAACACGACCCTGACCTGTTAACGAAATGGACACAGGCGTTAAGTAATAAATACAAGTAATGTTCATTCGAGACGCGGCTCTCGTTTACGCTATTTACTGAAATTACCCATTCGGACATCTCGTGAGTGTCAGGATTGCGGTGGTGGTAGTTTAAAATAAGAATAGTGCTGACCACGCTACTGGCGACCATGAACATGATGCAGTTGAAGTAAGTTCCTAGAATCAAAGCGATCGTTTCATTTACCGTCACTGAAGAAAGATTCGAATCGATCGGAATACGTCGAAATAGGCGTTTCATGGGTTTTCATTCAATTCATTATTTATTTAGGTTCCGTTATCACTTTACCTAGTAATGGCACAGCATCCGATGTCGCCGGCATTGTCTCGGCAACCATGTTTAAGAACACGGTGAGAGAAAGAAGAATCGTTACCCCTGCAAAGAGAATCATGATTCGTTAAGCCGCCTACATTTGTCGTAACTTATCGACTCACCGAGGGAAAGTTTCTCGCCAGAATCAGGCGGCAGAGTAAAGCCTAAAACCGCCATACTGGCGATCAAGACGCAGGGCACGATCAAATTGAAGAAATAGTACAAGGTCCTTCTTCTTATGATAACCACGAAAGTGATATCTATGTACGGCTCCGGACAGCAGTTGTAGTAAATCTCGTTCCTTTTTCCTGGTACTCCTGAAATAACAATATCTACATGAACCTCCATTCTTAACGATTAACGATGAATTCCGAATAAATCTGAGATCATTATTTAGACATACCTAGGAGATCCCATTCTCCGTTAGTGATGAAGCTACTTATGTCGCCACCGGCCTCATCTTGCAGCTGGAGATTCAACTACAAGTACGAAAAAAGGTATATAACAATCCGCGAAGATGGCGTACAACTTAATTCTCTTCGTTCTCTTACCACTATCGGGGCGAGTGAGGGATAAAACCGAATTAGCTCGCTATCCAAGAATTCAAACGTATGTCTGAATAAACAGGCCTCGCGGAGCGAGTAGGTCGTGAAAACTGGGGAGCTCCACTCTGCCGTCTTTGTCGCTCTTAAGGGCTCTGTACGGGAAGGCGTACTCTTCCTTAGCTTACTCCAAGTAAGCTTCGAGTAAGCGAGAGGGGAACTTGCAGCCCTGTATAAGAGCGAAAAGGAATAACGAAGCCAGGCTACCCAGTTTTCACGACCTACGTGTTCCGGTAGGCCTGTTGACTACGCCCGAAATTTCTTTTACCAAATTCCTTTTAAGCCTGTACCATACCCGACCCAAAACCCCAAAAAAACAAGGTCACTCGCCGCCAGCCGACTATTCTTGACGCGACACCGTAACCAATTTTCCTAATTTCCATCTGAAATTCCATTTTCTCGATCTTAAGGTGATACGAAATCTGCATTTGTGGGGTTAACCGTTTCTCCGAACTAGGTGTACCAAATCGTTCGAACATTTTTCCACGAGAATACGGAGGCTCTAACGAAGGTCCCACCACCCGTTAAATATCATTTTCATTTAACCCTTTACACTCGAGAGGAGACTCTCACAAGGAAGGTATCCCAGGTCGATCTCTACGATTTTATTTCTTTTATAATATGTTATAGTAGACTAAAAACTCAGCGACACGTATCTTTTTTTATCTGCCATTAAACACTTTAAGGGGGTGAACCCACCATCCAAAGTAAGGCCTGTGAGGAGTGGCTCACCCCTTAATTTTTTTTTTTAATTGAGAAAAATATATTCTTCATTTCTCGTTGTGAGAAAGCTTTTCCAGGTGGATTGGTTAAAAAATATTATGTTCTTGTGGGTGAAACTGCCAAATCGCCCCTTGACATGCCTTACTTTGGATGGTGGTTTCACCCCCTTAAAGTGTTTAATGGCAGATCAAAAAAATACGTGTCGCTTAGTTTTTAGTCTACTATAACATATTATAAAAGAAATCAAATCGGAGAGATCGACCTGGGATACCTTCCTTGTCAGTTACCACTTTGTCCGATGCGACAACTCGAAAGGTGACTCTCGGTCACCATTTCGTTTGATGCGGAAACCCGATCGACACAGAGGTATATATGTGTTTGTACAATTTGACGAAGGGTAGAATGATACCCCTTGCCATTTAACTGGGACGATCCTAACAAATAAGAAGAAGTTGCAATGTCTAATAAAAGAAAAAACAAAATCCCACTCAAGACTCGTGATCGAGCTTCTACTTCGACCTCTAATTTCGACAAAATTCGATCGAATGGAAAGCTACATGTCATTCTAATAGGAGTTAAGAAGGATTGCAAGGTTTGCTCTCAACGAAATAAGCCCGGCGAAAGACATCAAAAACAACATGTTACTGCAATAATTGTCCCGACAAGCCAAGGATGCATCTTGGCGATTGTTTTACAAAATACCATACAAAGCATCGATACAGTCCTTAATATTTAACAAATTTTCTTTTCTCACATGTAGGGGTACATAAAACATTAAAATATAACAGTTTTATACGTTAATTTGTATCTGAAATCATTTTAAGTTAGCTGGATGAAATTCACCAAGTATGCGGAAAATCGTTTCGAGTTGCTGGTTCGTTCAGACGAAAAAGGCTTCGAGTGCAAAGGGTTCAAATTTAATGATAAACAAATCAAAGTGAAATCCCATGGATGGATTTTTTTTGGGTGGCGAAAGTTTCGAACGATTCGGTACACGCGGCCCGGAGGAGAGTTCCATAAACAAGGCCCCTCGAACGCCATTTCCGTATCACCTTAAGGGATTTATTTTCCAGCTGCCCTTAACAGAGGAAAAAAAGAACCCGTGGTTCGACCTCGGGGGAATAAAATGGAACGTCCGAAGGAACGGATAGCAAGTCCCATTACGATATTTCGCGGCGATAGCCCGTGTCAACCGCAAGAATCCTGGCAAGGTGAGCCACAAGGCTCGAGCCAGCACGTAGACGGCCACGAGTCGGCGAGGAAAAATGAAAGCCGTCGTTAGGCGGAATACCGCACGCGCTAGGGCCGAGGGCCGAGGGCAAAATCATGCGCGGAATTGGAAGAACTCGCTACGGAATTCGAAAGCATGACCTGAAACCGGAAGGAATGCGGAACCGCCCACTCAATGCAATACACCCCGCCCACGAGACCAATATGCATCGCGCGGAGGATGCACCGCACCCGCAAGCCGGCGTCCGTGCGCTCGTGCGGACGCGACAGGAACTCGAGGTGCGCGCGAATCCCGCCGCGCGACCTGATTACTAATTACTTATTATTAAGGAACTTCGAAGGTGGCTTCGCCGAGCAGGGCCGATCGATGCCGGGTCACTCGACCCGCGACTGCTTGCCCAAAACGGGAGGAAACGCAGCGGAGCGATTCGCTGGACCGCCTTTTCGATGCCAAACTCGACGATATAATGGAAACAACGACGCCGGATTATAATTAGTAGGTGCGCGGCGAGACCGCGATGTGCCGCGAGGATCGCAATAACAAACGGTAAATCGGAATTACGCGAGACCCTAATAGCCACCGACTTAGCCCATCCCGTAAATTCTTGGTCTCGCGAGCTCGAGCGGCGTAAGAATTGAATTCGATGGTTACTCCAAGGATTACAACCCGGGCGTTCCCGAATGCCGGAAATCCGCGATTACCATGCCAGACCGCGCCTAATAATCCCGGGGAAGTAACAGCCCCGTAATCCGGAATTACTCCGATTAGAAAATTCCGGCGGGTCCGCGCGACGTCGAATACATTTTCCCGGACAATTGCTCACTTCCGAGTTCCCGATCCCGGGGCTCCGACAAACACCTCCTCGCGTTAGGGCACTTGGCCTACATTCCTTCCAGGACTGACCACTTCTTCCGTTTTCTCTGGAGAAGTCGCCGGACCCGAGGGCCTTTTCGGGTTCCTCGACACCGACCCAGAACGTTCGACTTCTCCGACTTTGCCCGGGAATTCGATCGATTGATCGACCAGGGTTTAATGAGAGCTTTGGGACTCGTTTTACTATTCCCAGGCGTGGACAATCGTCACCGGAAGTAACGACCCGCCCGTTCTAGCATCGAGGTCGGGTCAGTCGGGGAATCTTAATGCTCCGTTCAATTTATCCAAGATAATAAACCGGAAGGGCTCCTTTGGGCGGCCACTCGAGATATCGGAATCCCCAGAAGTTATCCGCGCGTCCTTCGATCGTCGCTCTATTTTCCTGATCGGCGTCCCGATCGATCGATCCTTACTTGGAATCCGTCGTAGGTCCAGGAGCCGAACTTCATCTCGCATCGCTGATCGTCAAAGGGGAACCAGGTGATGTCGATCTTGCAGGTACTCTTGAATATTCCGGGAGGTACGTACAAGCAGGTTCCGTTGTTTTTAACGACGACGTTCGTCGGGTACGTGCCGTCGAATCCCTCGTCCGCGCTGTAAATTAAAAAGAAAAGTAATTAAAAGATTATTCACCGGTACTCTCCCTCTCCCTGTTTCTCTCTTGACCTCAACCACGCGGCTTAAGGGAAAGGCGAAAATTACCGAGAAACGAGCTTAATACATCCGCCGCCAGCGGGGAAAGTGAAGTTACCGCCCTTCGAGGCAACTCTCCCACTCGGGCGGCGAATTAAGTCGCATCGATTAATTCGAATACCTATGCATGTCAATATATATAGACCGCGAATGAAATCAGGAAACTACAGAAGAGATATATAAGCGTAATCAAAGTCCACGTTAAATACGACCGGCGTGCTCGGGAATATTTTCCCTCAACTTTCACTAATTTCGTCGAAAACTCCTCCATTAACCCATTTCCTATTCTGCTTTAATCGATCTCCCCGGGGTCGAACAATGGCCGCGGTTAATGCGTTAAACCAGTGAGCAACGTCGGGGCGTCGAAGGTGACGTCAATTCGCCGATTTTCCCCGCGCTTTGAGCGAAATCAAAATGCGCGATATGCGGAAACCCAGACCGAACGGAACGAAAGTATAAGAACAGACTCTCGCGTCCGACTGGAGCGCGTCCTCCCGTGAAAGTATTGTCTTTAATTAAGGAGTTTAATTAACTCCTCCTCGAAGGTTTCAGTGGATGTAGCCCGAACTTTCGCGAGAAGTTACACAGCTGCCTCGCTCCTGCAGCCACTTACTTCGATGGAAAACTCCGTAGGTTTGTCCGTTCGAGATCTCCATCCTCGAACAGGAAGATCTCCATCGGGTCCGGGCGGCCATTTCGGCCGGTCGCGTCGAAATAGATTTTCATCCGTTCATCCCGTGGCGTTTGGCACTATTTCACCGTCTCCCGAGGGAGGATGTATCGGGCGACTCCGAGGCCAACTTCGAGAACGAGACACCTGGAGAACTCGATTGGGCGCAAAGAGGGGAGAAAGAGAAAAGTAGCCCGCGCAACTTCTTTCCGGCGCTCTTCCGTCACTTTTCGGGGCGGAGGAAGGCAGGAAAGTCGGCAAAAAGCGCTCCTCGGGACCGCCTATCTCCGCTTTATCTCATCGGTCTCGATACGCGTCTCCTATCCGGCGAAATATCATTCTAAATAGGAAGCGTCGGGATGCCTCTCCGGCAGGAATATAAGACGAGCGGTATACATAATACGGTCCGCATCCAGGGGCACCAAGGATTGGTTGGAGCCCGGCCAGTTGGCCACAACCCAATCGGTTATTTCATTCTTTTTGAAGGCGCCCTTGCGCCCTGTCCTCCCCTCCACTTCGATCCCTTCCCTCCCCGGCACATCCCCTTCCGCGATTTTCGCTCCTTTTTACAGGGAGATGAGCTCGCGCAGGCTGCGAGCGACCGGACAGGGATCGGATTTATGCCGAAACCGGCCCGCTTCCTGATAAATATTCGACGATGCGCCAACTTCGGCCAACCTGTGAGACGAACGATAAGCTGATTACATAATTTATAAGCTCGGACGTTTGCTCCTCGAACTCGCGGCCACTTGCCAGTTCGCCACTCTACGTCGATGACGACTCTCGGACGACGGATCTCGACTTCAGACCGGATGCTTCCGGCACTTCCGGGCCGAATCTCGCCGCGAGGGCGGCGTGATTCTTGGACCTAATGGAAGAAATTCCGACAACTTCTCCCCCGACTCGATACACGGTCGGGGAATTACGGAAGACGGATGGCGACGAGGAAACCCACGTCGCCGAAGTTCCGGAGAGTCCCCCAAACTTATACGATTGTTAACCGGAAACGCGAACCTCCCTTTTTGTCGGGATTTCCAGCGCACACCCCTAAGAGGTTAAATTAGTGATCACGGAGGTCGTCCTTTTGTTTTAATCCCCCTTTTCGGGTAAAACCACGACGTTATCCCGGCAGTATCGGAACGGTTGTTTAAAACGTTCCGCCGCCAGGCGAAAGTTGAAATTATCCCGTCAATGAAGTGCGGGAGAGTTCCACTTTTGTTAATCATTTAATCCATCATCGAAACGCGACAATCGCAGCCTCGTTAATTCCGTCTCATCCGCTCATTTTCCAGCGATGGTATTGAAAAAGCATACAATACAATGCGGCGTGTTTGCTCGATATCCGGTAAAACGTCGCTTTAACGTTATGATAACTCGATACTTGCTTCGCACCTATTTGCTTTTCGTTGTCATGGTTGCCCCCCGAGTGAAGCTTCAACTGTTCATGGCGACGCGTTTCGGGACAGTCCACACATTTTAATTAGTCATCGACTGGGAATCGGATCGATCGGAAAGACAAGTATAATCGAAAGGGCCAAATACCGGAGACATATTCCGCGGGAGTTGGAAATCCACCGAATGCATCGAGCTTTCTCACCGGAGACGACGACGTTATATCGAGGTATTCCACGGTAGCAACAGGAGTCTCGTAAACGGGTCTCGGGTGTGTCCATAAAAACGTAAAAGTACTACTATTATCTACCCCTAGCCGAAGGAAAATAATAACGGTGGGTGCACTCCCGTACTCGTCAAACTGCACGGCAAGTAAGCCGCCCCGTTTAATTTCTCGAACGTATCGCCACGTGCCGCGTATCGTTACCGTTTCTTTAAATAATAGGGGGCATCAAAGGGGGCTCCTAATTAATAAGGGGGCGAAAGAAGGTCGATTCCCGGTGGCGGGGGTAAGTTTAATAAATAAAGAGGAGCCGACATCAAAGATGGGAGTGGAGCCGCAAGCTCGCCGAGGGCGGCTCGTCCCGGCGTCTGAGCATCGTGCACGCTCGAGCTCTCGCGAAAGCTCGAATGTAAGAGCGTTCATTACGTACCTATCGACAAACACGAATTTAATCTGCTTTGGCTTGAATTTCAAATACGGGATAGCTAATGCATATTACCTTTGGCGTCGGCCCAAGCCTCCTATGCAGTCGACCCCCCCTCGCCCGGCCAATGTAAACTCATCTTGTCGTGCATTATCCGTTGACTTCCCTCGAATAATATTTATGCCATATTAATCGGATCCCCGTTATGGTCACCGGTGACCCGAAATCGGTTCTCGTTTACGGCCCGTCGTTTACGCCTCCGGGCCGAACTTCTCCCTCTCGCCGGGAAAAAAGATTGCTCCCGGAAATCGATATTTTGCTGGCCCAACCTGCACAAAGAAACGCTTGCCCCACGTGCCACCATATTTTACGGGCACCTATCGCGTCGAGTGTTTTTTGGATGGACCACTGCGTCTCGGTTCACCGACTGCACCGTGTTACGCGTACCTATACATCGGCTGCGTTGCTGCGAGGTGCGGAGTTACGCGTCGTGTCGGTTAAAAAATGGGAAAGATACGCGTCGGACGAGGGGACGGCCAGGCGAAAATCAGGGAAAAAGTCGTTCTAAATCCATGGGAATTAGCGGGATCGTTTTTAACGGGGTAGGTTTATCGTTTTTTCGACCCCGGACGCGATCCTCATTTCCCGGTAATTACGGCCGCAAAGCTGACGACTACTTATCCATAGGTTCGGGCATAGCTGGCCGGGGCATAATGTGCTTCTTGTGCCTCTGTGCTCTGCACTCTGGCAATGTTGTCCGGCGTCGCAGCGCGCTTCCGAGACACCGGTTGCATAATTGAACCGAAACTACACTGCGGATATTTGTGCGGTAAAATTACCGAAGTCAGGGGCCGCAGAAGTCTCTCGTGATCTCGCCGCATGTGTACGGAACTCGTTACCGGATGACCCCGAACGCCAAAGGAAATCCAGTAGCGAGATAAAGCGTTCCCTCCGACCAGCGCCAGATGCACTTCGCCACCGGAAGCAAAATGCAATCTCGACCGGAAGGAAACCGGGACCCCACCCGCGAAACACGCCAATTTCCTGAGGATTAAGCCCTCCGCAGTCGGACCCCCGAAATGCGACGGAAGAACGACGAAATCCGACGAACCCTTCCCCGGAAATCACGGGGGGGAATAAATTGGAACACGCATCCATTAAATCCGCGCCCCGCCCTTCGAGTAAATATTCACGAATTTTTTATCCCGGTCCCATTAAGAAATCAGTGCGCGCCAGGTGCGAGAGATGCATAATTAAAATGCAAGTAGGCTGCGGAGATATTTGCCCGGGAATCGTCGAACTGCCTTGCGAGGAGGTCGGGCGTAACCGAACATCGCGACGCTGCGAAAAGGTACTTTTTATAAGTGACACCGTACTCCACCATCGTGAGTATGTGTAAGTTTTACCGAGAGAACTCATTATCAGATTTCCCTAGACGCCAAAGGACATCTACTGGCAAGACAAATTGTTGGCTGCGGCATGCAGCAAGTTTTCTGTATCGCACATGACTAATAAGGAAAGTGCACCGAGGCGAACTCGAGGTTTACCTATTCGGCGCAAACAAATTTACAATTAGTTTAATGTTGCCGGAAGCTTAATAACGGAGCACCGAGCCAAGGGCGATAGTTTGCTGTCTCGTTGTCCAGGGATTAATAATTCAGGATATTGTGCGTCCACGGACACATAATTTCTCTCGCGAATATCGATCCGTCCTCGGATTCGTGGGGAAAGAAATTGAGAAATTCCGGCGCCCTAACGTCTGGGAAAACGATCGATCGCAAGGAAATGGAAAAATTGGAAGATTCAGCGATCGCACCCTAAGAAGGATGAGAGTACATCCGCGGTCGGTGTAATTAAAATAACACCGACGGAAACACGTTCGTTAACCCTGTGGAGGCGGAAGATGGCTTTTTCCGGTGCTCATTGCAGTGAGCTCAAATCTCCCGCCCTCAAAGGGTTAAAGAGTCTTTCGAGGAGCTTTCTTAGGGTCCCGTCGGGGCCGTCGGTATAATAAAGGGATGCTCATGAACCTACCAAAGGAGGCTCTATCTGCTTTGTCTCAGGTGCCAATAGCCATGAAATCGCCCTCTCCACAGTCGACGATACTTTTGACGTTTCTAAATCACTTTTTTGCCTTCCCTCTGAATTTTTTACATCGCTTAACCCTTTTCGCGAACGAGATCCGCAAATTAGAGACTCCTACGCCGGGGAATATATGGTTATACTTTTTCCGACAGTTCAGACAAGTTTCATAGAATCAAGCCGTCAGCTTTCCTCGCGGAAGCGCGGACTTAAATAGAAGCCGAAAGATAAAAGTAAAGAAAAAGTCGGCGACACGGCTGCATGCGCTCAAAATATTGTTCCGCTTCCGGAGAACCGTCCGAAAGCTTTTCGCGAAAAAGAAGGTCCTAGACAGAAGGCGCTCCCTCCGAAAAAAGGGAACAGCTGACCAGCTGTTTCGTCCTTCGAACTTCCAAGGACCGCAAATGGCGATGTAAATATTCTTCGCCAATTCTATTCGCGAGTTCTCGCCGGCCGGCACTTTCCAAATTCGAGGAGTCATGTAACTGTCGTTAGATATGGAGTACAGGAGTCTAGATTATTTTTTGAACGTTCCATCGAAAATTATCGGAAGAAAAGGTCGAGCCACGTCCCTCCCAGGACGACGTAACGCTCCCCCAACAGCTGCGAGTGCAATCCTTACTTTCTTACGTGTTCGTATATATAAATTCCCGAAACGTGAGCGGGATCCTCCATTTCCCCTAGGTGCAGCCATGGAGCGCGGTTAGATTTCGGAAAGACTCTCGGGGCTACGTCCAGAGAAAACGCGAGAATTATTCCAACTTTCTAAGTGTCAAGGAGGAACCACGGAGGAACTCCTAGGGGAACTTTGGCGTCTGCCAGATTGTGTTCCTAAGCTGAGAATCGCGAACAACTCCGACGAGAGACCAGGCCGATCGAGCACCGAACAAACGAGGAACTGCGAGAGCCGATACTAATGCGGATTGTTTCGGTCTTACCGTTGTAGACGTTAAAACATCTATCACGTTTCCCGGGACGAGTGAAAATCAATCGCGATATTAGTTCTCTCTTATCTCGATTTAGGTTACTCGGGTTAAGTTACCAGGAACTCAACACCGGTGGTTCCTAAAAACGCAGGCGTCGACCCTATTGGATTCCGGGCAACTTCGCGAGGTCCCCCGAGCAAAATAGCGGGGTAAATTTTTCCTTAGAAAAATTCTAGAGACCTCTAAATTGTGCCCCTGAGCCGAAAGAAAGAGCAGAAAAACTCAGCCGAGGAAGGAGGACGATAAAAGAACGAAAGGAAAAACCGATCTTCGCGCGAGCTCCTACGAGAGTAAATACCTGAGGTGGTTGATATTCCTCCTTAGACGTTAAACGAGAGGTTGAAAAAAGTCGCAGAATCCGACGAGAGACGTACAAGTTTCTTTGCCAATAAATAGGAATTTATGTTCGAATCGAGCGTAGGGATATTTTAATTTTGGTATATTTGAATTCGAAGTGGTAGTTCAGATTAAGCGAAAAGACGCGAGCGTCATTCGATGTTGCAAGCGAGATAGCGAGCTGCAAGGAGGAATTTCTGGGCAGCCTCGAATGTATACTTTTAAGCCGGAAGAAGAATGAAAAACTCCGGCGAAGAATGAGGACGAGAGAAAAATGAAAGAGGGGGTCGATTCTCGCGCGAATTCTTTCACACTCGCCGCCATTACGGCCACTCTTCGGCATCGTTCTCGATGCCGAAGATCGCTACGTTTTCGACGGGCGGAAACCGTGCACCGATTTCAACTATTTCGAACGTTCCGCTTCTCTCTCGGCTTGTTTAAATACTGAATCAAAAAGGGTCGCCCAAGAAGCAAGGAACGACGCCATTTCCAGCCCGCTCTTCGGCTCTCGCGATTCTTGCAGCCGCCTTTCAGCTCGTTCAAATAAAAGCTTCCAAGCCGTGAGTTTCGATCAGCGATTAGCCGAGACCTATCGTTTATCAAACCCTGCAGCCCTGTAATGCGACGTAAACAGTCAGAAATTTGCGAGCTCGGCGGTGCTCATCAAGCTCCAGTCAGATTATTGGAACACGAATCTGGGGCGAAGTTCAGCTCCGCTCGACTGTGGCCCCTAAATCCAAAATGGGCTAAGTGCCAAAGTAGAAATTTTAAGGGAAGAAGAGATACCGAACCTCGGTTCCATTCATGGAAGTCTCGTATCATCCATTTTAACCCTTTAACTACTGCGGAGTCGGACGTGGAGCTGTACCGTCTGCACGGATAGCTGGCCCGCGAAGTGCAAATATTTTACATGAACACGATATTCATCCGTCGCCTTGAATACATAGGAATAAAGGGGGCAACTATAATGGCGTTTCGTAAAAAACCGCGTCAGATGGAAGCCACTTTAGTTGCGCTTCGTAAAAAAACGCCAGTAAGTCCGAAGCCACTTTAATGGCGCCTCGTAACTAAAGAGTTAAATCGACTCCGCAAACACCGGGGTAACTTCGGTCTACGTTGCCCTCGACCCCTGGCCACATTTGTTTAAATTAACTACCCCTAACTTACCTATTGTACATGAGAACGTCGGGTTTCCATAGTCTATGAGGTGGAATCCTTAGATCTCTCACTCCACCGTACTCCGAAGTGTTCCACCGCATGTTGACGTCGTTCCATTCCTGAAACGATTAATCCAGAGTTTATTTTTTAATCTCCACGATCGACTAAATCGTCGTTAAAGTTACTAGAGGCCAATTCGACCAGCCGAGAAATCGGTAAAAATTGATTGAATCGACGGTCGTCAAATTCTCACATTATTTCGACCGTGAAAGGATGGCACGATCTCTGGAAGTGATCGCACTATGCGATTACTGCACAGAGGAGAGAGTAAAGGCAAATATTCAAGGTCACGCGAAATGACCGCGTAATGAGTGTCATGCACGTACCCGTGGCGCAATCGCGTGGCATTAATTGACATAATGTTCCATAATCCCGGGTAGCGATGCATCGATACGAGCAACATCGTCGCCCGTATTATGAAATAATACCGCGCGATTATATCTGAAAGCCAGGAATCGGGAGGCCTCCTTCCGTTATTTATCTCGCCCTCGAAGACGCTGGTACAGAGTTAAGCCTTATCCGAGAGGCGAAGGGTCTCCTATTATGGCAATTACTAGATCGTCCTTGATTGATCCAATGCCATAGCGTTAATTTAGAATTAGATTTAGATTAGTTAACAAATCAATTCGACTACGTTAACGGTACGAGCGTACCTACGCTCAAACCGCGCGACCCTTCGCGCCATCATAACCTCTTAGCCAAGGGTAGAGAATCGCCATAGAACCCTCGTGGTCAAGGCGCTCGTCTCCCTTTTTCGATGTTTTAGAGGTCTCTTTTTGAAGAGCGCCCTTCTGTGGCTCTTGACTCATATGGAAACCATCAAGTGGCAGACTTTTCCAAACCTTCCGAGAAGGACAATTTATTTCTTTAGCGCTTAAGCCTCGCTTTTTTAATTTCGGCATGTACTCGATAAGAGGAAATTTGTCCTCATATTCCTTTGGTCCTTTTGAGAGTTCCTTCTCAGAAGTACTTCTCCAGGAGTCCATTTTGCAGTCCCTATCTACACCTCCTTCACTGCATTAACTTCCCTTTCTACGTTTCTTTGCAAGCAATCGACTGCGTTGCAAAATGCAGCCCGTTTTTGCTCTCAACCTATCCTCGGAGACCCTTCCAAAACTCCGCCCTTTGAAAACTTTCTCCGAGGCCTCCTTATCCTGAGATTTTTATCGCCAAGGCAGAATTTGTTTATCCGACAAAAAAAAAAGAACTTTCTCCGACACCGACGCGACTAGCCATTAGTTTCAACGCGAACTCTTTCGCTCGGGTCGTAATATACAAACATTGTCGCACAGTTCACTGTTCCATGTACGCAAATAAACATTCATCATTACAAGAAAGTACTCGCGGGAGTTTTCGTTTAAAGTTAGCGCGAGATTTGTCGCACTGCATGGAACAATTACGTAGATCGGAAATATTTGACTAGCCTAGTTAACGCTCTCGGCTTTCCTTTCCCTTTACTCGTCAGACATTGAAAAACTATCGTTTCGAGAATTACTTAATCTCCCCGAGCCTCGAGTTAAAAAGTACTTCTTCCCTCTTTCTGGATCACGGTAGCGATAATCCGACCAAGCTACGTTTTCAAGAGAACTTTCGATATCGCAGCCTGCGCGGATACTAATTTAATAATGAAAACTGTGCGATCGATAGTCGATTAGCGCTTTGCGATAAGTGAACCGCTCGAAGTCGCCCCTTTCTTTACATCCCGACTCGGCCCTGCAATTATTCGGACTTGCTGACTCGCACACAGCCAGGAAAATAATAAGTGCCGGTCTCGACCACGAGGAAAGATAATCGAGGGAATATTCGCGTGGCGCAATTGATATAAAGGTCTCGTGAGGTGGTTGAAAACGCGTATTTACGCTATCGAAAAAGAATTTGGGCGAACGCGTCCATTCTGAATTCTATACCCGATTGTTTTTTTTTTATTCCTTCGGTCGGGGCGCGATTAAGTAATAAAAATGTCGCGCGCGGCAATCGATAACCGCTTTGTGATACGCGACCGGTCGGTTCGAAATCGATCTTTGTTTTCCCCTTGATTCGGCCTCGCAATTACTCGGGCTTGCTGAGTTGCATTCAGCCTGGGAAATAATGAGTGCCGGTCTCATCTGTATAAGCAAGGATAATTAAGGGACGATTCGTTCGGCAAAATATAACGAAGCTTTCGAAACGCCCGCGATCTGGAAAGAGAGACCGGCTCGATAGTTGTTTCAAAGTCGATATATCAATAGGGCAAACTCCACTCGGTGCAATCGTTCTACTCGAATTTAGGTCATTGGATAGCTGTTCTTGCAGAGTTTGATGAGGCTTAAGCCTTTGGAAATGAGCACCGAGAAGCGTTTCCAAGCGGAGGGCCTGTTCCTCATAAAACGAAATATTACTTTGCCGATTGCTCCAATAACGCTTCTCGTATTCCGGCCGTGTCGCCCCCACTAAAAGTATTTCCCTCGCGGGTCCTCTCGATTCCGGCAATTTTCGACCAACAAGGAACTCACCAATTTCAGCCAGAGGTTGGTGATCAGTAGCTGGTTCTTCTCGTCCTGAAATTTTAGGAAAAGGCATATATTTGACACACGTCGACGGGTGCGACGACAACGTCGGAGATACCTCTCGTACATCCATGCAAGTGACGTCGAAATCTACATCTACCCTCAAAGAATCATGCTCTACGATGCGTGCAATTCTTCTACATCCATACCATGCAATCGATGTGACGAAGAAAATAAATATTAGGTTTACAATAGTCACTGCTTTTCCTCGAGTTTGAACCTCGGTCGTCCTGGCACCTGTTCGAAATCCGTGTACTAAAACGTACGTACCGTCACAACGAATCCTGTACTTATATATTAATTTTAACCCGAGAAATCGATAAAAAACGGTCACGACGTCGGCCGCGAAGGTGTCCGTCGCTGTACCAAATTTCGGGCTGGAATAGATAAAGCGATAAAGTGTTGTTACCGATATTTACGTAATTATCGCAAAATCCAGCTCGAAATTCGACCCTATCGCGCAGTTTGAGTAAATAACGCTTTCCGGCTTGATTCCAGCTAGCCGGGAGCTTACGGGGAGCGAACGGAATATCGGACTTGAATCACGTTAATTAATTAAGCGAAATAAGCCGCTACGTTGTTCCCGGGGCGAGACAAAAGGCGCGCCCAGGGGTCGGGAGAAAAATCGGCGACTGGGGATTAAATATTCCAGAAAAGTGGTGAGCTTTGTCTCGGGAAATCATTAAGGGCATCCGCGGTCGTAACATCGCGCGCCTTAATTAAGTAAATTCCATGAACGCGCGAATAATTCGGGCACAGTGGAGAAAAGTGATTCGATAGAAAGAGAGGTCCGCGCTGAACCCGAAGGGAGCTCCCGGTAGGAAGGAACCCGGTAGAAGGGGTTGAAGCGGGTCGCTGATTGCACGCGTTCCACGAGCAGTCGACGTGGCGGTAATAATCGGTGTCTGGGTTTATATTCCGGATTTGCAGATTTCCTGATTTTCCGATTTCTGGGGCCGCGCCCGGGAGGAGGGAGAGACATCGTTCTCGGAGCGATCGAGGCGCTTCCCCGAGATCTTATAAAACAAAGCCCGGGCATTCGAAATCGGAAACTCGGTCTCGGGAAATTCGATGCAAATTTAATCTCGGGGCTTAGGGTGAAAAGGCTTCGAGGGCAGGAGCACGGAATGCACCGATCGGGAACCTCGTCGTTCCCGGAACGGGACTCCGCGTTTCCTCACCGAGCGTGAACGCCGACCGGTGTCTCTCGTCTTTGAAGTCGCGATCTCTCAAAGAGTGACCCGATTTCGCGGGCCAGCCAGTGCACGTATTTACTTCCTGGCCGGGGATGCAGCCTTCGCTTGGCGGAATCGCAATAACGACGCAGTGGGCGGTAACGCGATAACGCCCGGCGGTGCCTTCGAGCCCGGTCGAACGTTTCTTTCTAAACTCGAGTCATCCGATAAATGAACCCAAGGCTGGAACGCACCCCTTCGAGAACCCGTCAGGAGAGCCGCCGGAATTAACGGGCACTCCCCAAGAAGCGTCCCTTAACTTCCGAAAGGACCTCCCGAGACGTCTCGATTTCGCCCCCGCCTTGATTCCGCGAGGGCCGCGACAAGGGTGGAACGGCATCTCCTTTTCTCCGGATAAACCGTTATTCCACTGACCGGAAATCGAGCCGCGAGTCGATTTTCTCCCTAAAACGAGTTTCATCCCCAAACCGCTCGCTCGCTCTTCCGCCTTTTCGGGCTTCTCGCGCGACTGCGCTCTCGCTCGATACCACCTTGTTACGATTATTAACGTCGTAATGACTCGAAATTTTCCAAAGACCCTGCCCCTGCCTCTGTGTTTTGCCAAGATCCGACCGCCGCCCCGTGGTACTCTTATTACCGGCAGGTATCTTCACTTTCGTCCGCGGCGTGAACTTCACAGCGTCGACGTTAAAGCTTAACGAGGCATCCTCTGCCCGTTATTGTGCCCGTCAAAGAAGTCACGCTTCAGATCGATACCCGCCACTCTGAGCGTGAAACCAGACGCTTACACGGATTTATGAGTCTCAGGAATGACGCCTTTCGGCCCGGCCGGCATCCCTCTTCGAAAGAGCTAAGCCACCTGGAGGAGCCGTAATTCCTTCCTCAAAAGAGTTAACCAGGAAGTCGCGACCTACGGTATCGTGCATTATTTATCTTTCCCGAGAAGATTCCTCGTTCGCGCCGAGGGCTTACCGCCCGACCCCGACTTTCGCCGAGGAAATTAATTTACCTGGATGGACGGATACTTCGTACGGTCTCGGCGCCGCCATCTTGTGGACGCGCGAATCTCTGGAACAAACCGTCGCAGGAGTCCTCGATGTAACCGGATTTAAGAATCGACCTTCTGGCGAGAGGCCTTCGGTCTCTTTCCGAAGAGTTAAGCCACTCGGAGATGTTGTCGTTCCTCGGTTTATCAATGGGATCGAAACGTCGTGGAGCACTCCGCGCCTCTCGAGGACGACATTTTAGAAGCTCTCGGTCTTTTGGCGGCTTTCGCTCTCGTTCCGTCTTCTGACATTAGATGTTGGTTCGTATGACATCCTGCCGACATTTATTTTTTAAGAGAACCTTCTTGCTCGGTCTGAGCGCCGGTCTTGCGAGGATTTAAGGATTTCGAACGTGATGTTTCTCCCTCCGTCTTCCCCGAATAAGGAAATCTTTCCGTGAAGGGTTTAGAAGGTGGAGAGACTTATGAATCTTGGCCTTCCAAATTACTTGGAAGATAACAAAATGATTATTGATGAATTGTAAGTTTTACGTGTAAACGAGTATGAGAAAAGGGCGAAGCTATTTATGTAACGAAACGGTGGCAGCTGATTATACGCGTTAAGATTGACAAATCCTCGTTTATTATAAAGCGAAACTGTGAAAATAGGTCGTTGGTGATTTGAACCGCATCGAGGTCGTTGCCCGTGGCGAATAGGTAACGTAGCGGAAGTGCCGCAACGCGAGGGTAAAAAGGGCGTTTTATTATCTTTTCCTGATGGCACTCTGACGGAAAATCGAAAAGCTCATTACGGGTAAATAGATAGCTTGGCCATTTGGTTTCGACCCGCAAAACATCCGCGGCAAACCGAATCGGTGAAAAGCCGGGTAGCTACCGACGGGCTACCCTTCGATAGGCCATAACAAGGAGCTGACGCTTGCGCAATTATTTATCCACACGGTTTAACCTTGATTATGCCGAATAAACGATACTACGTAAATTGGGCCGAATTAGGAGCAATCAATTCGTTCGGGTTGTTTGCAAACATTCCGGGTCATGAAATTTTATAAATTCGCGGAAACCAGCGGAATCGATTGGAACCGTACGAACCGCTGACGCGAGCTAATGGAGATACGAGAAAATTAACCGCCACATTTTCGAGGAAGAAAACCGAATCGCGGGGGGAAAATTCGAAATGCGTTCCTTTGTCAGGAGTGTCACATCCGAGGAATTGGATGCACTTCCCTGAGAAACACTCAATGATTCTCGTTGAAAGCCTTCCCTGTTCCCTCGAGGGTTCTCGAGTTATCAAAAATGGCGGTCATTTCCAAACGAAAATGGGGAAATTCAGAGCGTTCGGTTTGCGGCTTGCATTGAATCCGACGTCACTTTTTAATAAATTAGAGACCTTTCGGCCGTCTGGCGCGCCCGAGTGGAAGTACATATTGAATGGTGCGCCCCGTACTACGCCAAATTGAAAGCACCTTGCTTTTCCTCTTTCTTTCGAGGCTTTAGAGTATCCGAAAACGGCGGTTACTCCGGAATCCTCTGCGGCGACGTATCCGCATTCACTGCGTTGCAAGACGCGTCCCTGAAACGGATCCTGCGGCTCCTCGGAGGCGCTCGAGGATCCGAAAGGACCCCCGGCGGAGTGCGCGGCGAATTACCGCAAAACGGCTAGGTAATATTCCAAATTTGTACATCCGCAGACCATACTCCCCAAGGCGGTCGACCATACGGCCGTATTTTATCCAATAATAAAGTTACGTCAAATTTCGGGGTCAAAAGTGGCTCCAGGGACGATACGCGACTCCGCCAAAGCGACGCGATTCGGAACTGGGTTGAAACAATCCGTGTCCGAAAACCCCATTCTCTATTTGATCGCGGAGTTGATTTTCGAGGATTTTGCGCGCATCTGCCGTGACCCGGCCAACTCTTGCAGTTTGCAGCAGCGGATGTCGAGGGCCGACCTGCGACCGACCTGGTCAGGGAATAATGCATCGACGAGGGAAACGACGTTTAGGCGTCGCCACGTTACTTCCACGGAATATACTCCTGTATTTTTCATGCCAAGATATTTGGTCGCACCTGCCGTTGACGAGCGATTCGTGCGGTTCGAGGATATTCCCAGGATCCGCCATGGAGATTTTCAAAGTAACCGGAAACTGCGAGCGGCGGTATTACTTTCCGTAATAAATTGTTCCCGACCGACGAGGCGTTCATTTTTCACATCAATTAAGGCTCCTGTTTCCGTTCCGCCATTTTGGTTCCGAAGGAGAGCCCCATCCTTGCGGGTTTCCGATTCGACCTGGCCTCTCTTCGGTTTCGTTTTCCTCGGAGGGGTATCGACGTGGCTGCCGAAAATTGCGAAATTACGGAAATAAGCGGTTTCGTCAGTTTCCAAGGGGAGTAAATCCTCTCCGGTGGAATCGCGATCCCTCCACTCGGGCAATTAAGGAGTCGATTGCGGGAATCCGAAACGAACAAGGAACGTAATGGCACATCTCGGCCGAGTTCTTCGTTTCCTCGAAACGAGAGAGCCACCTTACGGCACGAGGGTCTTAAAGGTTCCGCCACGGATGTGCACGGTACGTGCAATTATTGTGCACTTGAAACACATTTCTCTGGTGCAGTCACGGCTGGCTTGTGTGGATATCAAAAAGCGCAGACAGGCCTGTAGGGAACGTGTCGAGTAATAAGAATTCAGGTCGTAATTACACACGGGAGACTTCCAGCATCTCTCATTACCGGCCTTTGTAACGCTTTCTCTCTCCGAGGTTAACGAGTGGATGTCTGTCAACCGTTCTAAGCTCTCGGACCGGCGAAACGCGAGACTCCGCTTATTAGGTCCACACCTCCGATCGAGGCTTGAAAATCTCGCCGACTTCCTGTCAGAGATACATTTCTTGTCCAGACTTCACCCCGAATCGAGACTCTAAACTAATCAGCAACAAATCGTCCTCCAAATCCTCCCTCCTCCTTCCAGCCTTCCCCTGCCAGGGAACTCCATTCCCGGGATATAATCGTCCTTATTTTTTTTCTCCTTTCGTAATACCCCTGCATACGGATATAACTCGGTCGCCTTGACATTGTTACGTCCTCTTATTGTATCCGGGGACTTCATTGTCGGCGAATCGAGGGCTGTTCCGCAGGTACCAAAATGGCGTTCCAACAGCTTCAGCGCAGTTTCCTCCGAAATTCTTCCTCGAGATCTAGGAATCGTTTCCAATGCCGGGAGATCGACCAGTGGTCTTCGTCGTTTGGTCTTCGAGGGCTCGGAAAATTGCCAGGGGCAATCGCAGCCTCTCCTTGGAAGGGCTTGAAAAACGAGTAGCCATTAATCGACGCCTCGTTCACGGCTTATCCTCTCGGCGATCGATTTTCCCGGCGTCTTTGGTTTCGCAGAGGCTAGAGGAGGACGTAATTCGGCTGATTATCCTCGACTGTAGCTTGGGTTTCGATTTTGACGTTTCGGCCCGTGTACTCCCGGACCCTAGCCGGAGGAGGTGTCCATGACACGATGATAATGATACCCGACTCGCGGCGGCTCCCAGCCGGGGACTTGAACACGCTCGAAAAATTATGCCATCTCTGCAGATGCGGTCCGCAAATGGCGCTTCAACTTCTGGGCAAGGAGAGAGTACTTCCCCGCTGTCCGCGACTTTACGTCCTCGCCCTCGAATACGAGCGTACCGAGGGCCGGGACATTTATTTCGTTTTCGCGTTACCTGCCGTGACGTCCTGGAGTCATCTTGGTGTCATCTCGGAGTCATTTTGGGGTAGGAGCGATATGCGCCTTCGGGAACACCCATGGACCGGGAAAGGAAACCCAAAAAGGGGTTTTATATGTCTGCCCGACATGCGGCGTCGCATCGATTCCGGATTTGGGTCAGATTTTCACTTTGAAATGGCCCTAAACAAAAGGAGGAGTGCCCATATATGAAATAACCGGGAGTAACGCGTCTCGGGGAAAACTCCGAGCTGTCGGTAGCTGCAAGATGTATGGTTTTCATAAACTGGTTGGCATCGGACCCGGCCTGCCGCGAACTTTCCAATAAGACAGTGCGAACGACACGTTTCCGCGGAGGTTGTAACAGATTGTTCGACCGTGTGCACCAGAAAACCTTCTCCGAGGTTCCGGGATGAAAGGTTGCCCTTTCGGGTCGGGAGGAGCCACATTGTCAAATAATAAGCGCCTTCAAAAATTGCCAACTCCGAGACCCTCCACGAAACGTGGCGAACGCTTCGCTGATTGCGACGCTCGAATTTCGGACTCCCACGACGAGTCCCGATCCAATTCCCTTTCCTTCCCTTTTCTCTTTTCCGCTTTTAATCGGAGTAACTTTGGCTGACGTCGTGGAAAATGGCACGAGACGATTCGATCGCGCCCTGCGACGTGTTTCGTATTGTTTTTTTTTTGTTTACGAGAGATGCTTCTTCGCCCGAGCGACGAGAAAAATGGGTCTTGGTCTTGTAAAAAGTAGGAAACCAAGACCAAAATCAAGACTCGAGCGTACAAGATGAAGAATTAAATCAACACCATGGTAGTCTTGGTCTTGCACTTGCTTATCACTATGCCCGAGAGCCACGCGGTACGATATATCGACACTCGCTCGAGGTCAGCTAAAATCCGTGCAGCTCGGAGTTTCATGAACCTCTCTGTGGAAGATAATTGTTTTTCGAAGTACACGGATAGCCGCACTTAGATCCACTCTCCAGTTTGATCTGGTATGCACGCCAGCGGCTTGGAGCCCTTTTGATCAGCCAACCTCGAATTTCCATGGGAACCGGCAGACGGGCAAGACGAGCTTCTAAGCTTTTCGAATCAATCTCGCTGGTGGCTCGAGAGAAAACCAAAAAAAAAGAGAGAGAGATAAAAGATAAATGCGCGACCGAAAACGCGTGACCTAAATTTCGGAGTCGATAGCGCGAGTAATTTTTAAACACCGTCCGCGAAACGTCACTTTTCCCCACACAAGCGACAGCGAGCGCGATGTTCCTCCAATCGAAGAACTTTCGACAGGTTCACCTGTTGCGGGACTCGATCACAAGGGAATGAAAATTTCATTCGCAGAATCAGTGCAGTGGAAACGTTTTTAATTGGACTTTACAGCCAGGTGTTCGTACGAATTTATCGAACGCCGATACGAAACAAATCTCCGGGGTGTCCTGGCGCGATCGGACGTTCTCACCCTAATTTCCTCCCTCGAACGTCGGGTACTTCTCCGAAATTAATCGAACCGAAAATAATTCACCGGGAACGCCGCTGCGACGGAAAGGTCAGAACTCGGGAATCCATGACGTAGAAAAGCGATGCAAAAGTATTATACGCGTC